TACTCTATGTTCACATACGTTTTGTCTTGAAAGTCTCGGTTTTTCAGGTGATGTCCCTGATGGATGAAAAGGGATGAGGTTGCCAAAGTCTGAATCTGCGGTGAATTTTTAATTGTAACCTAGTGACTCGATAGTCCAGTGTTTTCTACACATCCGGGCAAGGCCAACCACTCTATCTGTTGTAGTTCTCGAATGGCAGGCATTTTCCTGAGTCACTCAAAATTGGTTACCGTTTCATCGGATAAATGCCTGCCATTCGAGAACCACAACGGATAGTGCGATCGGCCATTGCGCATACTTTTTGTAGCAAGACTTTTACTTCATCATGCTTCATTATTGCAGGATCTTTGGCAAAAGTTTCACACTGCTGTTAAGAAGTGGCTCTATACACCTTATATGTGCTTTCAAACTATGTCGATTTGAAAACGGCGATTGAAGGCGACTATAACTTTTATGGTAACTGCTGAGATGCGACTTTTCATACTGTCATGAGAAGTCTGTCCAAAAAAGCTGTCTCTAGTCAACTTGCTGTAAGATATTGAGTAAAAACTGCCTGTCTCAACAAAGAAATATCATGGAGAGCTGCCAAACACCCAAAAGAAAACACGCGAAAAACAATTTAAACTGCATCTAGTCAATTCAGGAAAACCTAAAAAGACGAAAAATGATAAAACAAAGAAGTTCGTTTTTTTATAAAAACAAACTTGGTCAATCGAGTGTGATTCTACCAGGCTGCTTTACTGTATCATCGCTTAATTGATCTTCGGTTTTTAGAAGTATTGCACAGACCTTCAAATGAAATTCTTCGTAAATCATTTTCTTTTTGCGCTGAAAATGTGCTTAAGAAATAATGACTCTATTGACTCTTCTCTTCCTTTCTCTGTTATATACTTGAGTCATCGTTGAAAAAACATTTTTATCAGGCAGGTGAAGTATAGGACATATACTGAGAACAAAAAACAGAGAAAGAAAAAGAAAAGTCAGTAGAGTCATTATTTTTAAGCACATTTTCAGCGCAAAAAAATAACGTAAAAGGAAAATGATTTGCGAAGATTCAGATTTGAAGGCTCGTGCGATACTTGTAAAAATTGAAGATCAATTAAGCGATGATAATCGACGAAAACTGCCATTTTTAATAAGTAATGATATTTCCCGTAGAACACGTGATGATAAGTCTGGATCCTCGATTCTAAACCTGTTCGATGAGTTATTCGACCGTGCAAAGATAACAAGCAACGATTTTTCTTATTTAATACGTGTGTTCGAACTTCTGGAATGTCATACTGCAGTTGAATATCTGAGAGGTGAGTCGTAATTCGTTTATGCATTGAGCGACTTATTTGCTTTTCGTTTCGCTATTTCATAGAACATCAAGAGCAAGTTGTCACTACGCCGCGACTAATCTCACCACCGGAACAAGTCTCTTTACAAGTCCAACTAACAGAACAGGTCTCTTCAAAGCCTCGATATTTTAGTATGCTTCAGGTTGTGATCCAGGATCGAGAAGATGATTCAGTGACAAGCAGAGCGGTTGATGATAGTGCTTTAACATCTAAAGTCGACAGACTTTCTTTTCAAGCGGCTGAAGTGGATTCAAAGGGTAACGTATCACATGCTAATAATCAAGAAAATGGAAATCAAATACGAGAAATTATAACAGAATCGGGAACATCCAATACCGCTACTCTAATCTTAGCAGCTATTACAAATGCCAATAAGAGATCTAAAAAATTCAGTGTGAACAATGTAAAAGGACAAAAAGTTACACAAATTTTGAAAAAACGTTCCGACGATCGTTATAAATGTCCAAAATGTCGTGAGAAATTTCTGCCTCAAGGAATAAAAAATCATATGTGGGCTTGTGACCCGAAATGGTGTTTGGAAAACAATATTTTTCGGACAGAGAAGGAAGAGAGGTATAGTGATTGTTTATTGAACTCTCAGTCCACAGATAGACTACCAAAGAATTTAGAAGAAGACTCAGTGGCAATCGAAACGGGCGGTGATACGGTCTCCTCCTCAAAAGTTAATGGACTTTCTAATCAATCGGCGGCTGAAGCAAGTGAATCAAGAGATTTAAATAATCGACGATCTCTTGATAATCCGAAACAAGAACTTACAAAAAAGCCTGGAATAGCGAACGGTTCTTTACCAACACTTAAAAAAGCTAAAAGTCGATCTAAGAGAAAAACTATAGCTCGAGAGAATGGACGAAGAATTATAGAGGTTCTGGAGAAAGATTCTAATGGATATTATACATGCCCAGGTTGTTGTAGAAAGTGTAAACCTCAAGGAATACAGAATCATGTATGGGCATGTGACAATAAATGGTGTCTTAAAAACGAAATTTTTTTGGATGAATCCGTAGTTTATGATTCGACCGAGAGCAGCGACGAAGATGGGTCATGAATGATAAACGTTCGTAATAAAAAACAAAAGAATCTTATTGTGAGTAAAGGAACAGTCGTTGTAGACATGACAATTGATTAGTTTCTTCTCATTTTTGTGATGCGTCTTCTTTTTCTTTTGTAAACGAGATTGGAAATTAATGATCTTATTCCTGCCGACTGGATCTTTGTAACAAATGCGCCACTATTACGCATATCTATCGGCGTAAGTTGCGGAAAACATATTTTCTGAGTGTAAGGCAACAAAACAACAACAACAACAAAATCATTAGCAACAAAAGAAAAATACTATTAGCAAGTGACTAATATTCGTCTGAAGGTCTTTGTTATCGTACTCTGTTTCGTGAGGTCGCAACCGCCAGCAATCGTTTCTTTCTAACCAAACAATAGAGAAAAGCATGTCACATCTGAGTGTTGCTGATAATTAATCCTGTTATTGTTTTTGTTCGCCTACAGAGTTTTTTCCAAGTGATGTGACATGCTGCATAAAAACAGTGACTCTCTTTACTAATAAGGAGCACATAAAAATGAGTTCAAATGGCAGCGCCTCATCTTCTACATCCTCTTCATCGTCATCAACAACGGTAGTAAATGAAAATCAATATTCAAAACTGTTGCACTCTCGTACGTTTCTGTACTACGCCGTCTACTTTGCATGGGTCTATTTCATTGAGGAGATAACTGTTATAGAACATTCAGGAAAATTGTTTAAATCGATTATAAAATATCTCGTACAGCTACTAAATGTCTCACTTTATACAGAAATGTTTTCTCTACAAAGTCAAAGTGTTCGAAAACTTTTAGTGTTATTTGTAACAAAAATATAAACATTCAAAAATGCGTGAAATAGCGAAAACATAATCGATCATCAATCATCCCAGTGCGATTCAGTACGTTTTCGATTTATTATATTTTCTCTACATATAACAGTGAAACGTTACTAACGCTTCGCTTTTGCAGAAGAAACATTTCTCTACAACATGAGACATTCGGCAGCTCTAAGAGATATTTTACTTAGGGTGTGCCAAAAGTTCTGATCACAATGTTTAAAATTTTATAAAACAGTAAATATTGAATGTTTTATTATGGGAATATATAGTATAACGTCTCGTCTTTAATAATCTATATAGCAACTGTATCTTAGATTTAGTTCTAACATCCTGCCAGATAAAATCTATAGTACTTATAGCCGAGAAAAGATCCTGACAATATAAAAGCAGAATACGAAAAGAAAGAAATATTCGAACTTTTATTTCATTACATACTCAAAATAATCACCATTAATTTCTATACAAAATTCCATCCTTTCTAACAGTTGATCGAAAGTTTTTTTAAACTGGTTTATTGGAATATTCTTCATTAATGTACCTGAATATTGGACAAGGATTAGTTAATATTAGCATAGTCGCTAAATTATAGACGTAGTCTAGCAGGATGTTAGAACTAAATCTAAGATACAGTTGCTATATAGATTATTAAAGACGAGACGTTATACTATATATTCCCATAATAAAACATTCAATATTTACTGTTTTATAAAATTTTAAACATTGTGATCAGAACTTTTGGCACACCCTAAGTAAAATATCTCTTAGAGCTGCCGAATGTCTCATGTTGTAGAGAAATGTTTCTTCTGCAAAAGCGAAGCGTTAGTAACGTTTCACTGTTATATGTAGAGAAAATATAATAAATCGAAAACGTACTGAATCGCACTGGGATGATTGATGATCGATTATGTTTTCGCTATTTCACGCATTTTTGAATGTTTATATTTTTGTTACAAATAACACTAAAAGTTTTCGAACACTTTGACTTTGTAGAGAAAACATTTCTGTATAAAGTGAGACATTTAGTAGCTGTACGAGATATTTTATAATCGATTTAAACAATTTTCCTGAATGTTCTATAACAGTTATCTCCTCAATGAAATAGACCCATGCAAAGTAGACGGCGTAGTACAGAAACGTACGAGAGTGCAACAGTTTTGAATATTGATTTTCATTTACTACCGTTGTTGATGACGATGAAGAGGATGTAGAAGATGAGGCGCTGCCATTTGAACTCATTTTTATGTGCTCCTTATTAGTAAAGAGAGTCACTGTTTTTATGCAGCATGTCACATCACTTGGAAAAAACTCTGTAGGCGAACAAAAACAATAACAGGATTAATTATCAGCAACACTCAGATGTGACATGCTTTTCTCTATTGTTTGGTTAGAAAGAAACGATTGCTGGCGGTTGCGACCTCACGAAACAGAGTACGATAACAAAGACCTTCAGACGAATATTAGTCACTTGCTAATAGTATTTTTCTTTTGTTGCTAATGATTTTGTTGTTGTTGTTGTTTTGTTGCCTTACACTCAGAAAATATGTTTTCCGCAACTTACGCCGATAGATATGCGTAATAGTGGCGCATTTGTTACAAAGATCCAGTCGGCAGGAATAAGATCATTAATTTCCAATCTCGTTTACAAAAGAAAAAGAAGACGCATCACAAAAATGAGAAGAAACTAATCAATTGTCATGTCTACAACGACTGTTCCTTTACTCACAATAAGATTCTTTTGTTTTTTATTACGAACGTTTATCATTCATGACCCATCTTCGTCGCTGCTCTCGGTCGAATCATAAACTACGGATTCATCCAAAAAAATTTCGTTTTTAAGACACCATTTATTGTCACATGCCCATACATGATTCTGTATTCCTTGAGGTTTACACTTTCTACAACAACCTGGGCATGTATAATATCCATTAGAATCTTTCTCCAGAACCTCTATAATTCTTCGTCCATTCTCTCGAGCTATAGTTTTTCTCTTAGATCGACTTTTAGCTTTTTTAAGTGTTGGTAAAGAACCGTTCGCTATTCCAGGCTTTTTTGTAAGTTCTTGTTTCGGATTATCAAGAGATCGTCGATTATTTAAATCTCTTGATTCACTTGCTTCAGCCGCCGATTGATTAGAAAGTCCATTAACTTTTGAGGAGGAGACCGTATCACCGCCCGTTTCGATTGCCACTGAGTCTTCTTCTAAATTCTTTGGTAGTCTATCTGTGGACTGAGAGTTCAATAAACAATCACTATACCTCTCTTCCTTCTCTGTCCGAAAAATATTGTTTTCCAAACACCATTTCGGGTCACAAGCCCACATATGATTTTTTATTCCTTGAGGCAGAAATTTCTCACGACATTTTGGACATTTATAACGATCGTCGGAACGTTTTTTCAAAATTTGTGTAACTTTTTGTCCTTTTACATTGTTCACACTGAATTTTTTAGATCTCTTATTGGCATTTGTAATAGCTGCTAAGATTAGAGTAGCGGTATTGGATGTTCCCGATTCTGTTATAATTTCTCGTATTTGATTTCCATTTTCTTGATTATTAGCATGTGATACGTTACCCTTTGAATCCACTTCAGCCGCTTGAAAAGAAAGTCTGTCGACTTTAGATGTTAAAGCACTATCATCAACCGCTCTGCTTGTCACTGAATCATCTTCTCGATCCTGGATCACAACCTGAAGCATACTAAAATATCGAGGCTTTGAAGAGACCTGTTCTGTTAGTTGGACTTGTAAAGAGACTTGTTCCGGTGGTGAGATTAGTCGCGGCGTAGTGACAACTTGCTCTTGATGTTCTATGAAATAGCGAAACGAAAAGCAAATAAGTCGCTCAATGCATAAACGAATTACGACTCACCTCTCAGATATTCAACTGCAGTATGACATTCCAGAAGTTCGAACACACGTATTAAATAAGAAAAATCGTTGCTTGTTATCTTTGCACGGTCGAATAACTCATCGAACAGGTTTAGAATCGAGGATCCAGACTTATCATCACGTGTTCTACGGGAAATATCATTACTTATTAAAAATGGCAGTTTTCGTCGATTATCATCGCTTAATTGATCTTCAATTTTTACAAGTATCGCACGAGCCTTCAAATCTGAATCTTCGCAAATCATTTTCCTTTTACGTTATTTTTTTGCGCTGAAAATGTGCTTAAAAATAATGACTCTACTGACTTTTCTTTTTCTTTCTCTGTTTTTTGTTCTCAGTATATGTCCTATACTTCACCTGCCTGATAAAAATGTTTTTTCAACGATGACTCAAGTATATAACAGAGAAAGGAAGAGAAGAGTCAATAGAGTCATTATTTCTTAAGCACATTTTCAGCGCAAAAAGAAAATGATTTACGAAGAATTTCATTTGAAGGTCTGTGCAATACTTCTAAAAACCGAAGATCAATTAAGCGATGATACAGTAAAGCAGCCTGGTAGAATCACACTCGATTGACCAAGTTTGTTTTTATAAAAAAACGAACTTCTTTGTTTTATCATTTTTCGTCTTTTTAGGTTTTCCTGAATTGACTAGATGCAGTTTAAATTGTTTTTCGCGTGTTTTCTTTTGGGTGTTTGGCAGCTCTCCATGATATTTCTTTGTTGAGACAGGCAGTTTTTACTCAATATCTTACAGCAAGTTGACTAGAGACAGCTTTTTTGGACAGACTTCTCATGACAGTATGAAAAGTCGCATCTCAGCAGTTACCATAAAAGTTATAGTCGCCTTCAATCGCCGTTTTCAAATCGACATAGTTTGAAAGCACATATAAGGTGTATAGAGCCACTTCTTAACAGCAGTGTGAAACTTTTGCCAAAGATCCTGCAATAATGAAGCATGATGAAGTAAAAGTCTTGCTACAAAAAGTATGCGCAATGGCCGATCGCACTATCCGTTGTGGTTCTCGAATGGCAGGCATTTATCCGATGAAACGGTAACCAATTTTGAGTGACTCAGGAAAATGCCTGCCATTCGAGAACTACAACAGATAGAGTGGTTGGCCTTGCCCGGATGTGTAGAAAACACTGGACTATCGAGTCACTAGGTTACAATTAAAAATTCACCGCAGATTCAGACTTTGGCAACCTCATCCCTTTTCATCCATCAGGGACATCACCTGAAAAACCGAGACTTTCAAGACAAAACGTATGTGAACATAGAGTAAACCCTTCTCTACGAAATGCTGAAGCTGAAGACACAAACTATCTGTCTCTTTTTGTTCTTGAGTTATTCCAGAAAAATCCATGGCCACTCTATTCAGAAATCCACAGTAGAAACCCCGTTTGCTCAAAACCCAGTACAAATAACTGCTTATCGGTAACATTTTAAAGGCACCAATGTGATATTAATTAGTAATCTTTAGCATTGATTAATTATAAATTATTGCCTTCAAAAGACGTTTTTTTAAAGTTTTTCTCATGAAACCATAATAATAAATCATTGGCTATCAAGCAATGCATGAATGACTTTTCTACGACTATTTTTGACAAAGCTACAAATTTTTTAAAACGCGGATTAGAAATTAATAAGCCTGTCAGTAGTTATCCGTTCATCGATGTTTAAAAAAACACCACCGAAAAATGTGATCATCCAACTTATATAATTAAATATTAAATAGATCAAAATATGTTTAACCTCAGGTGAAGTTAACATATGTCACTCACAGACTACTTAGAATGTTTCGTTTTAAACTTAGTTAATATTCCACATAATGACTAAGATGCACATGTGGCATTTTCCTTTTAGAAAAATGCAACATGAAATTTCCGCTTTTTTTGGCATTTTGCATCATGAACTGCAAAAAAGAGTGATTTTGCATTCGGAAATGTAAAAAAACAGTGATTTTTCAACCTGAGATGCAAAAATAACTGACTTTGCATTCTAGAATCCAAAACGAGATTAATTTGCATCTCGAAAAGTGGTATTGGATTTCTGAAAACAAAAGCTGCATTTTCTTGCACTTAGAAATTCACATAATTACAGTTTATGCAGGTTCACATTTTATAGGCTAGTTAGATACTTAGATGGGGATCTCTTAGATAGTTAGATTAGGGGAGCATCAGACTGAGTTACGAAATATCAGTTCTGGATTACAGGGCTTGGTAGGTTATTTGACTAGGGCGGGAGGTATCAGGCAGCGTTAGTGAGATCACCAGGCTTAGAGAGGGCCGGTAAAGCTACTGACAGCCCGAGATGTAATTTAGAGCAATTGATTCAGTGTTTCTTCGTGCCTAATGGCTCTTTCCCACGAAGCTGGAGATTCGACGTGCATGTGGCAGAGTATACGACAAGGGATACTGCTCGATCCTTCATACAACTGGAGATCTGTGTAAAGAGTTTACAGTTATCTTGTGAACTGAACCCTGTAAGGATCATACGAAAATTACTGTTTGATACAATACCTTGCGCGGAATCATCATAAGCTGGCGGAAAGGTCAGCATACTCCAACACACATTTTTTCGCACCCAAGATAGTGCCACCGCCATTCAAATCAACGTTTAGGATGGGACGTGAACCGTATTGCACAGAACTCATATTTCCTCAATGGATCGACACAATCGATCCAGCATTCAAATCATTCTCCCATCACTGGACATTCATCGATGAACTAATTACCACAGCGTAACTCATTGCTAAACATCTAACAGGCCTATACACTGCGAACCCCCACAAACTGTAAATATCTCAATATCTAAATCTGTAACTAGCCTATAAAATGTGAACCTGCAGAAACTATAAATATCTAAATATCTAAACGTCTAAGAGGGCTATAAAATGTGAACCTGCACAAACTGTAAATATCTGAAGATCTACATATCTAAATATGTAAGAGGCCTTTAGAATGTGAACCTGCAGAAACTGTAAATATCTGAATATGTAAACATCTAAATATCTAAGCGGGCTACAAAACGTGAACGTGCACAAACTGTAAATATCTAAATATCTAAGAATCCTATAAAATGTGAACCTGCAGCGGCTGTAAATATCTACATATCTAAGAGGCCTATAAAACGTGAACCTGCAGAAACGGTAAATATCTAAATATCTGACGCTCTAACTAGCCTATGTCTTCAGTCTCTTGAGAATGAAAGTGAAACTTTTCTGAGATTTATTTTTTTGGAAAGATTTTTAATCGGGTTGGATTAAAGGATTGGAAACGATGTTATAGTACCAAATAACTTTGAAAAAAAATTCTATAATTCGTGGATTATGTTGAGCATTTCAACGCATGTATTTGGTTTTTGATACAATAATTAGCACATTTATTAATAAAGTATTTGACAGTATCTAATGTATCATAATACCACACTACATACAGAATCATGGAGGTATGCCAATGTGACTTTCGCCAAATTGTCGAAGGTTCACTTGATTATTGCCAATTATGGTTTGAGTGACTTTGTCTTTTAATGTAAGTCACATGTTTTTTTAAGCAAAGGTCCAGTTTGTAAGAAATGATTTAGTAAGCAGTTGAATTTGAGAATAATTGAAAAATAAAATATAAAACAGCTGTAAATATCATGATTAACTAATCACAGTGGAATTTATTTTGATATTTCGACAGAATTTTCTGTCATCATCAGAAATAAGATTATTTTTACATAATGGAAAACGATATACATTTAAAATTCACGACAGAGAAAAAAAACTAAGAAATCGCGTTGTGTTTTCTATCTATGTGTGTGTGTATATAAGAACGTTCTTACGTTCTTTAGAACATTGTTTTCGGGCGCATAAGAATTCTTATATACATACACACATAGATAGAAAACACAACCCGATTTTTTAGTTTTTTTTCTCTGTCGTGAATTTTAAATGTATATCGTTTTGCACTATGTAAAGATAATCTTATCTCTGATGATGACAGAAGATTCTGTCGAAATATCACAATAAATTTCACTGTGATTAGTTAATCATGATATTTACAGCAGTTTTATATTTCATTGTCCAGTTTGTATATGACGTGCTGTGTCACATGCTACATCATGCATAGTCAAAGAAAGGCTAACATTTATCTGACGACTAAGATGACAATACAGATACACCATGGTTTTTCTTTTTCCTCTCTTTTACTCAGTGTCTTACAGCAAGTTGACTAGAGATAGCCTTTTTAGAAAGTATGAGAAGTCGCATCTCAGCAAAGAAATGTTATGGAGAGCTGCCGAACACCTCATTCAACTCAGAGTTGAATAGGCTATCTTTTGGCGTTCTTAACAAAGTTCCATCAAACTGTGGTATTTAAAGGTTTTCTCGAGTGCTCCTAGAGATCCTCTAGAGTTTTTGATGAAACTTTGGCAACCGCCAACGTTTCTTCAGTTTTTCAAGCGTTATCAACTAGTATAATATAGATATTAGCATGTTCCTAGGTCTGCCTATTTATGAATTAAGAAACGATGAAATTTAAAATTTGTAACTTTAATTCCAAAAGTCACAATAGGAGTCGGAGATCTGAATATTTTTCAAATGAGGTCTAAATAATTCTAAAGACAATGGCCGTTTTGAGATATTTTTACAGGTTCTAGTTTTTACAAGAGAATTAGCTTATTTGTTCAAGTTCATGAAGTGGAAATCCACGGTTTTCCATCCAAACATTTTCTCGTAGGTCACTCAGTTTTACAGAATTTTTCACATCTTTGGACACACCTAAAAGAGCTTATCCATTTTGTGTGATTCCGCCACGATCTCTATTTCTTTAATAAAACTGAAGCTGTGCAGCCAAACTGAACGATATTTCCAGGTATTGTAGAGCACATGGCCGCACACATGTAGAAAAAATGGTGACTCTTCGTCTTTTAAAATAAGCGACAAAAATCAAATTTAAAATGAAAAAACGTGATTCAGCCACGATTAGACAGGCCGTATCCTAACCGTTTTGGTGCTCGTGGTACTATATATTACTTTGCTGAGATATTAATACTCATTCTTTCTCTTCTTATGGCTATCACAATTGACTATGATCGATCATATGACTAATATGGACATGTTCATACTATCAGCGGCGACTGAATTTTTCTTCCTAATTCTTCCAGTACGTCATAAATTCATTGTAACGCATTTAATCGACAAAACAACTACGTCACTCACATATGACACATTTTAATCAATTATGTCATAATCGCATGCCTACGATAAAATTTGTCCTGTTCTATTCTGACACAGTATATAAGAAAGAACATATTTGTGACTCAATCAATAAAATCCAGTAACACGAAACTATTTTTACTACCATATTCACCCGATATTCAATGATGTCAGAACGTCGCTTTCAGGAATATTTGAGAAATGAAATAAATCGACTTCAACATACAAGAAATGATTTACAGAAACGAATGCGAATATTAGCATTATCGGAAAACGAATATTTTACAACAGCTTCATATGACATTCGTCTTGAAGAAAATAGTAAAGTTGCTATTCATACTGGAAAACAAATGTTTCATAATACTGTGTTAGCTGAAAATTCATATTTGAGTGGAACACATCGTTTGAGAATTAAAATTGAAAATTTAAATTCTAACCATAAATATTTATTTTTTGGAGTACTATCATCGTCAATTGATAATATCCAGTCAGTTCCATCGTTTTATTCACCATCTGCTTATGGCTGGTCGATGAAATATATCTATGTAAAAGGTATTCAGATTGGAGAATATGACAGTGATATTATACAAGAGGATGTTATTGAACTGGAATTAAATTGTGATGAACGAATTATTTCATTACTTAATAAACGAACAAATAAAAAAATGCAAATGATGGCAGACGGAAAATTACCTTGGAAACTACACTGTACAATTTGCTGTCCAGGTGATTGTCTGCGACTGCTTGATTGACTACATGGTAGTAGCAGTAGAATACAGCTTACTTTTACATTGAACTTCGTTTTGCAGACTCTGAAATATAACGCTTGGTTTCATATTTTTTTCGTTTTTTGTGCTCATTCCTTTTTGAACACTATCAATACATCTTCTATCAAGCTATTAAGAGAAACTCTTTTATACTTTCCTTGAGAGCCAATTCATATTTCCAAGGTTGAGGCACAAATCTCTTCAAGTGTTCTTCAACTTGTCCGTCAGTGCCTCTGAATATAGAATTCATGAGCGTTTGAATTCGGATGTCTCAGATAATCCATGCGTCGCAGGTTGTTGAAAATAATAATAAAAACCGGTCAGCAAAAATGTACACACCATTTTGAAGATATGAAAAAAAAATTCGTGAAACGTTGTAATTGCATTTAACTATGTGCATTTCCGTTAGAATCTTAGGCGTCATGACCAAAACGCATCTGTGTCCTTTTCGTTTTTGCAGCCTCCATTTTTTCCTCCACCGCAAACAAACTATTTAGATATTTAGATACTTGGAAATAGACCCACACCAGATATATAGATACTAAGACATTTCGAAATGCACACCCACCAGATATTTAGATATCATATCACCGGACTCCGAAATTTTCAAACGCGATTAGAGTCCGGGGGAAGGCGATATTCGGAATCAGCGTGGTCGATTGCCTATGGGTCCATGATTTTTAGTCCGGGGTACTTCCGAAAATTAAAGTCGGGGGCCTTTAAAAAGAAGTCGAAAAAAATTTACGCGCTGACGAGGATTCGAACCTCGATTCTGTCTCATCATAAACAGACGTTTTATCTATTGTGCCATCAACGCTCTTCAGCAAGTAGATACATTTTATACTGTAGGTGTTGCTGTTTCATATCAATTTGCTTTCTTTCGCATAGCATCAATATTTTCATATCGTCTCTTTAGTTTACTTAGCTACGAATCTATAGTCTTGTCGTCTGGTCTACCATCAAGTACAGATGACAGAAAACGAAAATAATAAGTATGAGTATTTTTCTTTATAACAGAATTTTTCGTTATTTTTCAACATTTTCTTATACCCTTTAGTTTTCTTTGGATCAGAATAGACAACTCTATTGAGCAGATATCGAATGTAGCTGTTCTTTTTTGTACACACACAATCAAAGAAAACGTTGGAAAAGTGGGAAGAATTCACCTCTCTACTTGCTCACTGAACCTGCGATGTACTGTTTTAGTAATTACTTGAATCTTCGAAATTTTACGCTGAGCAGACAAAAGCAGGAGATATAAACTACAAAAACGACTCGAAGTGATCTGCACACTACTATACATTAAGAAAATAACAAAATGACTTTCATATAAATCACACTCTGTTTTTGCACATTTCGTGTAACATAAAAGGAGAATAGCAAAACGTCCTCAATAACGCACGCGGCTGTCGTATCACTTTGAGGAAGCAAAGTCAAAATGTTTGAAAGTGAAAACTCAATATATAATACAACATCTGAATATAAAATGAAGTTATAAAATTTATATGACAGCCGCGTGCGTTATTGAGGACGTTTTGCTATTCTCCTTTTATGTTACACGAAATGTGCCCGCACCTTACAATATCGCACATACGTTTTATTACTTTTTCATGGATCGTAACACACGCTAAAAACATTAAAAAGCAAAACAATAGAAAAAACTGTAAAAATAATCTAATAATTATATCAGAGAAATAGTACGCAACAAATACAAAACACATAACAGATGGCAGTAGCGCACACGAAATATGAAAAAGTTTAACAGTATACACTGAAATCAAAGAGTTATTGCTGCGAAAATAATTGAATAAAATTGGGATCTGTCAGAGTCATCACGATGGAACTAACGATTTTCACATCGAAAATGGCGGCATTCAAATCAACAATAGACATGCGAGCCCATTTGCACCAGTGTCATATTTGCCATCAAATGAAAGATGAATATTTGTTGATGATAATTTTAATGTGCACGAATCGAGTTTTGATTTCTTTGTGGATTTTAATACAAGACCGACGCCAACATCGGATGGACATTTGTCCTAGAATTAGTACTGAAAGTCTACGTTCTGCGGAATAAACTTTTAGATACTTATTTGAAATATATAACATTTCACCCGATAATGCTTCATGCGTTTCTGATGTCAACTCTTCCAATATCATCCAACGTATTTCACGCTTCTAAACAGAAAATACATTAAAATGAGTCAAGTTTTGAGAAATTATTGGCTGTACTCGCATTGCAATTTGTTTCAGTCATGTAAATGCAGTTAATAACTGAAACAACATCAAGATCAGTGTTGTTTTTTACTTACTGTTTGTCCTCGTGTGCTCGCATGTTGTACTTTGTCAACAGTAACTCGCAACAATTCGCGTTATGCAAAGGCAAGCAAAAATTATTGTTGACCAATACATGATCTGCTTTTGTTACGGTTCATTCTTGGGAACTATGAAAAACCAAATATTATCTAAAATGAGATACTCACCAAAGTCAACGTTCTTCCGTTTGCGGATCATTCTCTTGACCATCTTTTGCAACTGGTTCTAAAAAATTACAGCGCGTAGTAAACATATACAGAAGGAAGATTAAAACCGATTATCGGACTATCATTCCATGTGCTTATCTCAGAATGGATTTTTGGTCCGAGGCCCATCATTTCTGAAGAGGGAGGGGGCGACCCTTGAGAACCAAACTATATAAATTTTACTTATTATAACTGAAGTGTTGAAATAATTCCATGAGATCACCGAAAAGCTGAGCATGGATAATACACTAACGCTTCATCTTGTTATTCCATTTTATTATAAATTATTGTTTGCGTGCAAATCAGATACCGATAATTCAGATGTTTTAACTAACTTTAAACAATTTATTGATAATGAAATAAAAACTGTATGGGTGATTCAATGGGAACATGTTATGGCAACAATGCTATGTCCAAGATTTAAAAGAATGGAGAAAGGACGGGGGTCGATAAGAAGCAAAATCAGCCCCCTCTCAGATCAAGCTTATATTCACAAGTCCGATGTAGTTTTTCTCTGTGATTAAAATTAGCATCTCAAAAAAACCATTCTCAGCCCCCTGGATAAAATTCCGCATCCAAACTTTTCTCCCCTTAAATGAACTTTATTTCGAATATTTTCCCCATTTCTTCTCTTTGCCCAAAGCAAACCTCAACTACTGTACATCATTCGATAGGGAATTTTACGGGCTACAGAATGATATATATAATGTTGAGAACAAATGGGGCGTGGGTGTCCTAATACTAGAAATACTAGTGTAGAGTGATGTTTTCGGCATCGACGGATAGGCTAAATCCATATAAAACCGACCACCGACCACTTACATCGACGTTTTACGTTAGTGATGAAAGCTATCTCGTATTATAGAGCTCAGCAAGCTGAATCGAATGGTGAAGACCCCAAGTCTCTAGCTTTGTTAGGAAAACAGTTATAGTCATTTTACACTCGCAGCTGAAAAAATGCATTTTCGTCATTTTCCGGCGAATTTGGCCTAACTTGTAAAACGTTTGCTGATCACATTCTCTAACGTAGAACCTTGAAATTGGTGTCAAATGAAAGAGGATGTCGGGTTCTATATATTTCGATGGAGGAACGTTGCTATACGCCGGAGTCTTGAGATAGAGATTTCTGAAAAACTCAGTTTTCTAGAAAACGTAGTGATCTTAAAGTTTCTCTCAGAAGCTTTCCAACCAGATCACTCGATGGCCCGTTGAATTCTTCATAAAGTGAGATGCTGGCCAGGTTTTTCCGATCGTGGTAATTAAATGGAATCTTTATGAGAGTCGCACTACGTCTCATTCTGTAGAACTCAAATTGCTCTACAATCTCACATATTCAAATGTTTTGTTCAACTTGAAGTTTTGCCAAAAGAAGTTTATTTCTCCATATTGACAGGATCTACGGACTGCGGCTTTTGCAATAGCCTCCTACAACTTTTTACAGGCTTTCAAACTATTCCAGTTTATAGGGAGATTTAAAAGTCTACCGCCCACCTTGGAAAAACGGTTAAAAAATTGCTACAATATCTTCCTTTTCCGCTAAAGTTGGTCCCGAAAAATAACATGAAAGTCGTCTTAAATTAGTTGAGCCGTACGCTGTACTCGACTCTTCTTGGGGCGAAAATTAAACGTTTTTGGGGATATCTTCAACTACAGCAAAAGTCAATAAATTTCACAGTTCAAATTTTGAATGAACGAAGACAGATTAGGCAGTGAGATGTGAGTGATTTGCGAATATCTAAATATCTAGAATATCTGAATGTCATATCCAGAGTGGTTTCTGCCGGTTCATCCAGAGTCCATTAACCCATTTCCTCTTCTCCTTTTCTGTCACTCACCTATGCTTGATGATATTCACATATTCGGATATCTCTGTATCTGAAGAAGTCATATAAAACTAAGTATATTTAATATATTTGAAAAACATTTTTGTAAAATCATTTTGCATAAAAAGCGAGCTTTCGATACTTCACAGTATCATCATCAGGCTAATATGACTCTGAATTTAGAAGAGTTATATATACTTGTTGAAACAGTTGAAATACTAGAAAGTTCATTTAGTCAAATTGTAGAATTTAGATAAGTCATTTTCACTAACAGGTGCGCCAGAGATAATGTCCCTCTCCGTCTTTTCTCAGTATCTGAGTCAAGGTTGATTGCCAGGGCTTAATATTTTTTTAAAAGATTCCTCATTTAATCCTCTACAAAACTATGCGCTTCACTTGCTATTTCTGTATGCAGTTTGTTTTTCAGATAATGCAAAGTACAGATCTACAAAAAATCGTCCTTTAAAAGTACAAAAATGGTGATGGTCCAAGATATTCCAAAGATATTCCGTGATTTAAATTTGGTTTGTGTCTTAAAACGTCAGAAGATGGTGCCAAATGATTAGTGAAACTGGCTCTATTCAACTGGCACATCCTATCGGTTGCCCATGTCTTGTTCGAACGCCCGGGACAATTTAAA